ACACTGTAAGTGATAACGCACTTAGGAAGAAAAAAGAAAGGGCTCTGAAAATTTTTGAGCTATTCAATGCAATTGGTAAAGATAAGATTTAGAGGATTAAATCCTTTACCGCATTAGCAATATCAATAGTAGGCTAAGACGAAATTGACAAAATATTGATTAGGTTAGCATCTGTAGGAAGATAGATTAATTTTACTGCACTATGCATGTGACATTGTGACCTCAGGTCACATTCTATAGCAATTTCATAATTAATAAATAAAGATAGTTTGCGAGTCGTTTTAACCAAATGTATACTGTATATTAGTAATGTGACGTTACTTTATTGCAAGACTCGCCAGAAAGATTTTATCATATAATTAGCTGATAGATCCCTGTTAATCACGAGAGATCCATACAGCCTGTATTAAATCATCTTATACTCTAAATTTCTGGCGATCATACCTCTGATTAGCTATTATGCCATTGGAAAATCCCTTACATGCATGTAAATATGCACATAGCCAGATGTGAACCTTATATAAACCTTCGATATGCTTGTAATCGAATAAAAATGAATCTGATATTTATTATATTATACTTGCTATACATTGCTATAAGTCTTTAAAATCGCTAAAAACGCTATAAATCACTAAAACAGCTATAAATTACTATAAAGTCTCTTACGGATGTAAAATGGTTAAAACTAACTATTTCAGTTTAAATCCTGTAGTGGTGTAGGCGTTAAACAATCTGCAATATAGATATAGTGCTGAAACACCAGAAATGTGATGTTCTTGTGTTCGTTATCCATTTAAGAAACTTCTTGAATATAACCCAAAATACTTCTCCAAGAACAGATTTATCCAAATGGTTGAAAGGATATATATAGATGGAAAATTTAAAGCTGGAAGATGCTCATTTAATATTTATTGCACTGTATGCGACTCCTTAGTAATTATCCGTGAAAATACTATCAAATGTGACAATGATCATCTGAAGAAATATATTGCCAAAAGGCGCTTTGCATATTCTAAACCTGTACAGAAAAATATGAAAAAAAGAGGAGTGGATTCCTTCAGGATCACGCCAAGCTAAAAAAGTGTATTATCACTTAGTTCTGATGAGATAGATAAGATCTATCAAACATATTGTTTTACATTAAGTAATTACTGGACTAAATATAGTTATCACTATTCATCTAAGATAGGAAAAGGGTTGTAAATCATTTAATCGAAAGTGCAAAAGTTGTCCAACGGGTTTGGAGAGCTTTCAAGTTAAGACCTGAAACATGAGTAAAATGAGTTTGGAATATGGTGAGAAATGATAGTACTCCTGACGAGAAGAAGTTTTTAGGTATAACTTCTCATAAAATAAGAGTTCCTAATGATCGATATATAGACTATATATGGGATCCCAATTATCTTCTGACAGGAATTAATTATGGAGATAGAATTCAAACTAAAAATATGCCTATATATTATCAGAATCTTCCTATATTATACGATCATTATACTCCACAAATCTGGGTAGAAAGAAAGAAAGAACAGTTATGGAGATGATTAAATAATGTAGTATAGTACAATAGATTGCGAGTATGTGCAATGAATTTTTCAGACTATAGATTCTTTATTATTACATATTCATATTTTTTTGCATCATATAATCTGCATGCATGCTCGCCTAGTATAATTGTGAAATGTACCACCTGCGAGATAAAAAACCTGATTTGTCTATTCTGGATTAGATCCTTCAAAATACTGTATAACTATATTAATAAAGTGTTTTTCGAGAAAGATCCTTAATATTATATTATTTAGCTATGCGAAATGCCTTAAGGCTAATGCATAAAGGCATGTGCAACATAAATTAGCACGTTTTCGATTCTCATTAAAAAATATATATATATATAATGTAATATTGAGATTTTCAATGCATATTCTACATGCCATTAATCACAAACACAGGCGTAAAATGCTTTGCATATTCTTCTGTCTCTTTCCCAATATGATTATAAGCCTAGAGGGGGTCATTTATTATGCTTTTACATTATTTTTTTTTACTTCGCTTAACAGAGCTTTTACTAATATTTAACCTTTACTCTATTAAAACAGAAGAATTCCTTTTAACAAGAGAATCCCTTGATATTGTCAAAATCTTTACAGCATTATTTGTACGAGTAGAGCAGGGTGAATAGACAAGTGTTCTTGAAAAAGAGGTAAAGAACTTTGAAAATATTCTGGAGCAAGTATTAGAACAAGTCTTCTCAGAGGATATTGAGCGGATAAAGAAGCTTTGAAGTTTTGGTACTAGAAAAAAATTGGTAAAACGGGTAAGGGCAATAAACTATTTTCATAAAGAATAGGTAGATATGATGTATTTTTTAGGTTTTCTTGCATATATATATATTAATGAATGCATTGTGTCCATTGTGATACTATTACTTCCGCATGATAGTAACTAATTATATATATATATGCCCTAGCAAGCGCGCATTTTAGCTGACTTACTGCTAGCATTTTGATATTTTTTTTATGAAAATAAAAACCTAATCTGATCCTGCGCAGGGTATATTTATTTTAATTTATCAAAATAACATTAAGTCTAAGTTAAGTTAACTATATTTAGGTAGTAACTACATTCGAAGATTTATGTTCCCTCATAGGGATGAAAGCTCTGGTGATTGATGTCGAAACATGGCCTGATTATGCGAACGCAAATTTAGAACTTTTAATATGTGATGTCAATCAGCTCAAAAGTAAAAGTGTCAGCTATGAAAAAACTATGTAGAAAAAAATTGGAACGGAATTAGAGAAATTAGATGTTGAAAGTCTTAGATTTGATCATCCAATATGTTCAGGAGTCTTTGATATCAAATCAGAACCTTTCACAAAGATGCCTGAGTCATTTTACGATATTTTTAAGAAACCTTTCAAGAAATATAAGCTAGATCATAATGATATAATAATGGATACTTGTAGAGAAATAATTTATAATGAGGAGTCGAAGATAAAATTGGATGGATATTTGAGTAATGTTGAATTTGAAAAATGGCTAGATAGTTCTGAGAGGCTTCAAGAAATGACAAGACGGATTCTAGAATCTTTGTAAGTTCGCTTAAGTTTTACCTCTGCTTTTTTATATATGTTAGCTTACAGCATAAATAATGAAAATATGCGGGATTTTTTTATAGGTTTAAAGTCTGGAAGTCACCTAAATATGAAACCTATACAAAGAAGGGAAAATCAGTTAACGAAGGGTCATATGTCTGTGAAGTACTTGTGTCATTAATAAATATAGTAATGAGTAGATTGCCTGGAAATCCTGCTGTATGGGATATATGATAAATACTACTTCTAGTATCAGCTATAAAATAATCCTGTAGAGCTGTTTTTTTTCTTATTTGATGATTTTTCTTAAATAGGGGTGAAGAGAGAAGTTCAGCTAGTACTATACGAAAAGGATCTCGTAAATATGCACGAAAATCTGATTATATGACTGTAGTCCAACTAAAGAAAGATGCGAAGTTTGAAATTGTATACCTCAAAACTGACAAATCAGATTCCAGTCAAGACAAACACCAGTGAGATCATAAAAAATTAATCTGATTTTCTAAAGATTCTATTGACACTACCAGAAAAATATCAAAGCTTAAAAGGGTATTTAATATTTCATCTAAGAGGC